GTAGTATTCTGAACAAAACACAGTATGAGCTTCCCTGACTTAAACAGTATTTGGAATCCTGGAAAACTGAGAAGTACATGAAAACTGAATCATCTCTCCCGACCCCCACCCCACCCCAAACTTACTGATTATGAGTAAATGGAGTTAGGTTCTGAGGTAGATTTTTTTTCTTTGTTCTTAAGAATCAACCCATACATTGCAGGACAGCTAGGTTCCCTGGTTGCTTCCCTTCTATGATTGTGACTCCCTGACCCCCCTCCCCACCATGCTGTTGCCACCTTTGAGAGCAAGTGTCCTTTAACAGTGCTGAGAACTCGGGCAATTGGTCTCCTCTACTAGAAGTTCCGGTGCCTATGGGTGTCAGCCCTCATCTATTCTGGGGTTAAGAAAGGCCCTGGGGGCAACCTGCTTGGGTCCCCTCCCTGCAGCAGTTTCTGTAATAAAACTTGCTTTCCCTGGTCTTTTTGTTCACGAACTCATTCTTCAGTTTCTCGAGACAAGGAACGTGGACCTGAACAGAAATTTTGGATATCGTCTCTGGAGGTGCCACCGAGATTCTACAGAACACGCACTAGATTCTTGGGTTGATGGCAGGAGACATGCTCCCCTGTGGCCATGTGGAACTCTACACATGGACTACTAGACTCTTTTTTAAAAAATATATTTTTATTGATTTCAGAGAGGAAGGGAGAGGGAGAGGGAGATAGAAACATCAATGATGAGAATTGAATTATTGATGGGCTGCCTCTGCACACCCCACACTGGGGATCAAGCCTGCAACCTGGGCATGTGCCCTTGACTGGAATCCAATCCGGGCCCTTCAGCCCACAGGCCGACTATCCACTGAGCCAAACCAGCCAGGGCATAGACTCCTAGACTGTAATGCTCAGCTGTAACATAGAAAGGAACACTGGCCGCTCCTGGAACCCCAGCTGCACCTTTTCCAGGACTGGCTTCTCTCAATAAACTTTGCTCCCGCTAAAAAAAAAAAAAAGAGAGAGAAAGGCCCTGGGTTTTTCCTGTAATGAGTCTGATAACTTTTAAAGTAGGGCAGGCTGCCTCTTGGGTCTTTCTAAGGCCCTTTTCAGTGAGTCATCATGTGCTGGTAACTGCAGTGCTGAGATGGGGACCCCGGCTTTTAAGGGGTGTTTTGGAGATGTGCCCTTAGAAAGCATTATGACGCCAACTGTGGTTCACATCGGATGGTCTATGTAATTTGGGCCCCAAGAAAATTACTCTAATTGCGATCACTGCTCAGTTAAATTTTTGTTAAAAATATATTTCATATGTGGACTTGAAACTTACCTTGTACCCCAAATGACTTATGTCTAAGGATACATAAACAGGGTTTTAAAAACACACAAAACAAAGTAGAAATAAAACAAAAATTGGACTAAAATAAAGTCAGAAATGAAACACACTTCAACCTTCATTCTTACTAGGGAGCCATACTGTGGTGTTATGCATCCCAAAACAATTTAAACTTATGGTGGTGGGGTGGGTGTTAATTCAAAGGTCATGAAAACTCCAGTACAAGAAAATACTTTATAGCACTGTCAAGTTATTGGCAACTTTCTAGTTACTTTTTGTCCGTTTATATCGTCTTTTAATGATAAAGTATCATTTCTCCCTCATCGGAAATCCCTTCTGTTCTATGTTCTTCCAGGACATTTCATGTGTACACAAGTATATTTTAGCCCAAGGTAGCTTGAACGCAGTTGGTGCTCGTTATCTTTTTGACAACAGAAACAGTTTTGAGATCTGGAAATTACCGTCTTGAAAGTGTATATAAAGCCCACGCCTCCCGCTAAGCGAGGCCGAAACGGAGTTTGGAAAGCGTGCAAGCGGCGGAGACTTCCGCTCTTCGCGGCGGCACAAGCCGCACTGGGACCCGGGCCGGAATTGAACTTCCCGCTGCTCACAGTGGGGCGGCCCCGCCCACTACCGGAAATAGCTGAGCCAAGGGGTGGAGCCGGGCTCACCGTGCTTCCGGTCATTCTGCAGGGGTCAAAGTGATCCCGGAACTAGAACCTCACTCCGGAAGTGGCTTTCAGGGCGGGGGAGAGCGAGCGGAGCCGTGGTCTTAACCTGAGGGAACCCAGGAAGTCGGGCGGTGTAGACCCACGAGGGTGGCCCGGAAGCGCTAATCTCCGCAGGGCTCGGGCCGCCCGAAACCCCGTGGCTTTCCGCCTTCCCGTGTAGGCGGGCACCGCACATCTTCCGCTGGAGGTGCGCGCCCGCGCCGCAGGTTTGTTTTCGTTGCTTTTGGGCTAGCCATCGAATAGAAATACCTATGAATTTAAATCTTAAATCTGACCTAGCTAATTTTGCCAAATATGTGGCAGACATTCCCCATTATGTTATAGCTGCAGTTCCGAGGTTTGTATGAAAACAAAGCATGTATTAGGCCAGTAACGATACCCGTAGCAATTCCAGCTTGCAGATAATTTAGGTGTCAACTAATGTGCTAGGCAATACGTTTTTACATCTTCTGACACGAACAAAAGGTTGAAGACGTTAGAAGGGCTTCTGACAAAGCTGATGCCTGTACAGTTTATGAAAGGACGTCATTAATCCTGTGCACTTACCGGCCACTAGGGGCATCATGAGCTTGTGTCCACAAGACACGTTATTCGAAGCTTGAGTCTATCTCAGCTGAAATATAAAATTAAAACCTAAAGTTTGCCTTTGGTTCCAGCCACTCTAGGTCTGTGCCTGTCACTCATTTGGGCATGGACGTTTGGCTTTTCAGTCCCCCAGCTTCTTTGGCCAATACTTGGAATCAGAAAACCTGCCCCACTGTTAGTTGTCCTGGTGAGTGCGAACACTGAACAAAGCTCAATGGATCAGTAGCTGCTTTTCCCAGGCCAAGAAATGCGATGCTGGCCTTAAAAGATTTACACATTTAGCACGGCCATTAGCACCCATCCTGTTTCTGGACAGCTGATCACTAAGGGACAAGTGATTCTTCCCCTAAACCCCACCATCCCAGGACTAACCATTTTGTCTTTCGAATCCCACTTTTCTTGTTCCTGGCCTCCACACTTCCACTGCAGCCCAGTCCCTAGACCAGTGGTTCTCAACCTTGGCTGCACATTAGAATCACCTGGGAATCTTTTTAAAATCCTGATTTCTGGGCCTCATCCTTCGGAAATTGTTTCTTTGTTATGCGGTGGGGCCACATTAGTCACAAAGAAACAGAATTTCCGGAGGATGAGGCCCAGAAATCAGGTTTTTAAAAAGATTCCCAGGTGATTCTAATGCGCAGCCAAGGTTGAGAGCCACTGCCCTAGAGCCCTGTCTTTTTCAAATTGGTTTCCCGAAGGCATGTTTCTTCTTCCCTCAGCTTGGACCACTTTACCATTAACTGAATCACACCAAGGTTTCTTATCTGCTCCCATAATTCACTTACATAATTGTAACCAAGTCAACAAGTTTTAATATATGCTTTACATTTTACTTAATCCCCATGATCCTCAAGTAGGTGCCTTCACCTAAATTTTAAAGAAAATTAGAGTTACACAATTGTTAAGTTTGGATCTATATTTCAGACTTTGTATACTTTTATACCTTCGGTGCCAGTAAGAACTCAAACATTTAATCTTGTAATCCTTTTTTAAAACCCTCACCAGAGTATTTTCCCCCCACTGATTTTTAGTGTAAGGGAGGGAAACATCAATGTGAGACAGTCCCCACCTGATTGGAGCTGGGGATCAAATCCAGGTACTCGGGCTGATATTCTAACCACTAAACACACCAGCCAGGGCACGTCTTGCAGTTCTCAACCTACTGACCTGACCACCTGTTTTAGATTCATGGCCTTAGCTTCCATAGTTTCTCAGGAAGACACTAAGGCAAAACCCATCACTTCACCTTTCTCCTTAAACACCGTCATGCAAAATGCAAATCCAAATGGCCCAGTTAAAAACAAAAAACCCAAAACAAAATGGTCATTATTTTTGTCTAACTGAATAAAGCCTGACTGACACCTCTTAACTCCCATTACTTAAGTCCTTCAAGTCCCACCCGCTTCCTTTTCTTTAATGGTCCCCTAGGTCATGTAAGGTTTGCCATGACAGATTTGTGCTTCAGAAACCCATGGTTCCCAGCCCATGTATGATCCCATAGAGCACTATAGAGAACAACTCTCCACCAAACCAAACCTAGTAGCTGAGTCTTAGTAGGCTTGAGTGCTATCTTAACTTAATCTGGCCAGGATTCTAGACTGCAAGCTTTATTTTGGGTCATTATTTAAAAATCTTTGAAACAACTCTGAGCACAAGAGCAAATTATAATTTACCCAGGGATCAATGTCATCAGTGTTTTGCAAGATATACAAAACCCAGTTTCTGGCCTTTAGGATAACCCACGTTTCTAATAGATATACAGGAGTCTAGAAGAAAAATTAAGATTTTCATGATACATTTCTTTGAACATGAAGCCTCCTATGCACAGGGACCCATAAATCCTTACAACTGCTTTCTATAATACAAGCCAGTTTGATATGTAAAACCCCTGGCATGTTTAAAATTCAGATTGCTGGAGCCCATCTCAAGATTTTGGTTATGACTAGAATAGTCCAAAGTCCAAGATGAGGGAGCCCGGTGGAAAAATCTTGGGCTCAGGAATGACCTACCTAGGAACGGCCTCGGTCCTATCACTCCTTTTCCTTTCTGTAGACCGTGTCCCATCAAAACAGTCCTTTTGAGCCCCATGGAACAGTCAAGGACACATTCTTCCACTCATTGTGAATTGTGAGTATACAATGCAAACAGACCTTTCAACTATTTAATACTTATCTACACACACGTTAGCAACAGGTATCGTTCTCACTTTATAAATGAAAAGTTCAAGTCAGGATCGGTCAAAAGGCTTCTTTCTTCCTCACGGAAGTTTGCAGAGGACCCCAGGCCTTGATACCCTAACTCCTAGAACCTGTAAGGGAGGTTTTCGAAGTACAGGTAGGGAAGTAGAGATGCCAAAGGACCTACACTCAGACCAGAAGACAAAAGTACTTGGACATTTTAATGAACTCCCCTCCATGTAGCTTCAAGCTACCAGGACACAGGCCCCACCAACACCCTTAATCTTCTCCTCGGCTCTTCTGCTGAAGAACTTGGCCTTCACAATGACAGGCTGCTTTGGGAGCTTTCCCTTCCCCAGAACTTTGTAGTAGCCCTAGAATAGAGAAAAGAGTTATAACACACTATGGGAGGTACCCACTCCTTAGTGGGTATGAGGACAGATGACAGACAGCCCATTCCATCTAGGAGCTGGGAAGCCTATGTTTCTGATCTGGGCACTACCGGGGGCACTTACTGCCCACGCCAGTGAATCAAGACCAGCAGATTCTCTCCGAGAACTGTAGCACACCAGGACAATAGCTGTCAAGATGTGACTCTAGTCTCGGGCAAAGCCCAACACCCCCCTTTCCCATTCAATTACCATCTAATCAAAAAAGGAAAACCACATTCCCAGCAATGTTCCAGAAGTCTCGACCACCAGAATTGCTCAAGGGATGGTAAACAGGCTGGGAAGGGGAATGTAACACTTAACTGAAAGGTTTAGACTACTCCTATACCCATGGGAGGTTAAGACTCATAGAGATACACAAAAAAGCTTGGGTGGGGTTTTTTTGGGGAAAGAGGGGGGGCAGCTCTTCAGATAATGTAGGGCCTTAAATCACAATTAAAACATACTAAGATTTTATTCTGTAGGGAACATGAAAGGTCAGTAGCGGTGCCTAATGTAGACCTGTGTAAAACAGACCAGAGCCAGTTGAGCTAAGATATTGCCAGTAACTTTAGGTGAGAAGTGCAAACTTGTACAAACCAGGACAATAACAGAAATGAAATTACTGATGGGAAAAACATTCAAGTGAAAATAAAGTACTTGAAAGAATGAAGAGCAGAAGGAATTACTCTTGAAATATTTTGTTGAGTCACAAATGAACTGGAGTTCAGTTCTGGTCAGAGAATTACCTCTGGAAATTCTGCCCAAAGGCAGAACTGTCTAGTTAGGGATCGGGCATAGGGCTCAGGTGGGAGATCAAGTAGATTAGGTTACTCAGAGCTTTGAGGAGAGGCAAAGGACCCATGAAGGCAAACATTAATTCACTCACCGATCGCACCACATCAATGATGGGAGCAACTCCAGTCTTGCTTTTGGCAGCATTCACCCGTGTCTGCTCACTGACCAGGGTCCACAGTTTATCAAGGTTGACAGTTGGGCAGAAGCTCTGGTTCCTCTTCAAGTGGTAATGCCTCATACCAACTTTCCCAAAGTAACCTGGGTGACTGAGAGAAGGCAACCAGTTTCAAAACGTCACTCCAGTTAAGAAGCGATGTTTATCATCTTTATAATCCATCTCCCCCATTACAGTGTAAATTGTCAATGGGTGTAGAATCCTGACATAACAGATACTCCACTCCAGCCATTTTCTGAATAAAACAGATCTTTCACCGAATAATAAACAAATAGTTAAATACCACCCCTAATTTGAGGGCCTAAGTGAACCCTACAGAGGTACAGGTCAGTCTGATGGTGTCACTAGCCTGGTGACTGACTGTGCCACAGGGGCCCACAGTCAGTGAATAAGGGTAGCAGTTGCTCTCCGAGGGCTCTAGCACACTAAGGCAACAGCAAATACCCAAGCGTGACTCTAGCCTCGATGACAAATTTCTCAGCTTACATCAAGTGTTCACTCGGTAAAAGCCAACAACAGGCAAGGTGTAGGTGGTTAGGAGGCTTGCTTCCCATTTAAGATGCTTGGAGCCGGCCTCCCCAGCCCCCACCCCCACCCCGAACTCCAAACTGTCAGTAAAATGCAGCCCGAGAAACACTCACTATTTGTCGAAGTTGATCCTGTGATGATGCAGGCGCCAGCATTCCCGCGGCCCCCCGGGTGCTTCCTGTGCTTGCCTGGAGGAGGAGAGTTCCGTGGCTAACAGAGCAGAGCCCTCCCCGTCCGACACTCCTGGCCAGTCTCCCCCAGCCTCTGCCGCTCCCAGTCCGCAGTACTGTCAGCACTGCTACTCCTTCAAGACTCCGACTTGAACAGCACTCATGCCTTCAACCAATGCTCAATTTTCACTACCCCCCCCCCGCCCATGTGCTATTCTCTGCAAGTGAAATACTAGAGGATCCCAAAGAAGTAGGTCAGATTCAATCCGACCCGGCTGCACAAAGTTCTTACTAACCCACTTCTAAGCCATCTGCCTCCTGACTAGCTGAGCACCAGGCAGGCAGAGCCCAGGGCCGGACAGGACGGGATGCGGGTACGTACCAATGCGGCCGTGACCGTGGCTCACGTGGCCCCGAAGTTTGCGGGTCTTCCTCAGTCTGGATGGCTGTGTGGAGAAAGGTGCGTGGGATAAGGCCCAAGAAAGGTGGGGCAGGGGCGAACCTTGCCGGACTGCGAGGGGCCCGCAGACCTGAAGATCGAGGATCGGTCTGGTGCCGCGATCTCAGTCAAGCA